AAAAAAAAAAAAAAAAAAAACCCCCAAAAAAAAAAAAAAAAAAAAAAAAAAAGGGCCCCCCCCCCCCCCCCGAGAAGGCGGTGTAACAAGAAGTTAAACACCTACCGACAGTTTTCAGTATTTCTCAAAGTATGTAGAAGCAGTAGCACTCTCACAATCATACATTATTATGTAATCAACATGCAGCACGGTTCTCCTCCTCCATCGACAGCACAATTACAAAATACCTACATGAATAAAGTACTGCTCAAGGGGAAAGTACTCTCACAGAGAAGGTTTAATCTCCCTGGTACTTTTTACAGAGGTGTCTGGTCTCTTTGTTCCCTTTTTCCTGTGAGGACAGACAAACTTGTCTTTCTCTTCACTTATTGATGGGCGAGCCAAGGGTTTTGCTCAGAACTGACATTTAGCTCCAGCTCCCTGTTTGCAGGGCAAACTGCACCTGCAGCTCTGGGCCCCGTATCTTCAGAGACGGGAGCACTGCCCTGCAAAGAACAGAGAGAGCAGCTGTCATTTGGAGTTGAAGGAAAGCAGGCGTCACCGAGAAGCTTAGAGGATGTGTCTTACACCACTGCCTGTGCCACACCACTCCTCCCTACCGAGAGCCAAAGAGAAAGCAAGACTTGGTGGATCTCTGACCTGAATGGAGAACACCTGAAGTCAGAAACCATCCTCCAAAAAGGTACTATTACAAAGCCTTAATGAGTCTCTATACAACTTTTATGAGTTTTGAGTAATTCGAAATGGTGAGAGCCCCAAACAGAAACCACTTTCTCACAAACAGTAAATGTGGTTTAATGTTGATATACCAAGAAGAATCCTCATCTTCCCTGAAGCTACTGTGATTGCCATACCCTGCAGTAAAGTGAGTCCAAGTCACCAGTAGTTATGAAATACAAAAATATTAACTGACTCTGATGGTGTTTGTGTTCCTCCAACCTCATATATGTTTATCATCCTGTCTACTGTGAAAAGCTAGATGAATCCTTGGGAACTCTCCATGGAGAGTCCCCACAGAATCCCATACTAAGAGGTGACTGACTTTGATAACCACACTTTTCTGGCCAATACTATCCATGCAAGTCACAAAAATATAAGGGAATTTAATGGCAGAGGTTCCCACCTCCACAGCCTCCAGCAGTTTGGAAGACAGCTTGAGTTCAGCACTGCCACCACCCTGGTGAGTGGCACATGGGAGCACCAAGTGCTAGCTCCCAACAGCAGTGCAGAGAACATTGCTGGTGACATCCCTTTGCACAGCTGTCCCCACAGTCCCATCTGACACTGGACAGGCCACTACTGCCATTCCCGTTACTGCCACCTCCGGGAGGACGTATCCCTGGGAACGGTGCTATTACTGCTCTAGGTCCTACAGGCTCTACACAGTGGGTGGGCAGGACCCACATGTTTGTAGGCACACGGTGTGTGGTAATTGGGAGTGGGGCTATGGCCCAGCCTCATCCCTAATGAGCTACAGGTGACCAGTACTGAGGGTAATGAGACCTGGCGTGCCCAGGTGCACTGACCAATCACAAAAAGGTAGAGAGGGCACACAGGTGCAATGCATGAACAAGAAAGGGTATAAAAGGTTGGGCTAAAGAACAAGAAGGGCACACGTTTGGAGCCTTCTGGAGTGGTATGGTGTTATTGTGTATGGGCTGATGCTTGAAGCCGTCTGAAATTGTATAGTGATACTCTGTGTATTGTGGCTATCTCAGCTATAACACATCTCTACCTGTAATTTCACTTTCTCATGGCTCAACTCCTCCCCTTTGAAGTGGCATCAAAGACTTGATCTATCAGAAATGCTTAGCATAGACATGGGCCCAGCTGCCCAGAGAGGTGGGGGGTGCCCCACCCCTGGAAATAGCCAAGGTTAGGTTGGCTGGAGCTCTGAGCAACCTGATCTAGTTTAAGGTATTTGTGCTCATGGCATAAGGGTTTGGATTGAATGGCTTTTAAAAGTCCATTCTAACTCAAAATATTCTATCCTTCTCTGATGCAGAGAGGCGTGGTTAGTCAGCATTTGGGGAGCAGCTGAACCCTACTGGATCATTTTTGGGAGACCTCTCCAGCAGTTCTGAGACGCCTTCTATCATCTCCTCCCACCCCAGGCACTCCTCCACTAGCAGTTCTGCAGCTTCAGTAGTCCTTACTCCCAGGGCTTGCCACACCTCCCTCCCGCCTGCCCGATGGCCCTGTCAGTCCCTCACCTGCGCAGTCCAGTCGCCCCCGCCCCCGAGGTTGGCCGCATCCTGCGAGCACACCGAGCTCCGCTGCTCGCCCGGGCCGGGGGGCAGCCCGGCGGGGAAGCAGGGGAAGAGCGGCCTGAGGAAACGGAACTCGCTGTTGACGGTCCCGGCGGCGAAGCAGACGTCGTACACGTAGCTGCGGGGCAGGGAGCCCGCGCTGCTCTCCGTGGCAGTCGTTGGGAACGTGGGCAAAGTCTCCGTCTCGCTCCGCCTGGCCCGCCGCACCTTCACTACCACGGCGGTCACTGCGGTGGCGAGGAACAGCGCCGACACGCAGACCAGCGAGGCGATGAGGTACAGGGTAAGCGGCTCGTCGGGCTCGGCGGCCGGTGCCTCCTCGCTCACCCGTAAATGGGCTTCGGAGAAGCCATCCACCAATGCCACGGCGAGGGTGGCGGTGGCAGAGCGCGGCGGCTGCCCGCGGTCCCGCACCAGCACGATGAGCCTAGACTCTGACCACCAGCTGCTCCAGGGGGCTGTTCTCAGCCAGGCGCACCTCGTAGGTCTCCCTTTCGAAGACAGGAATGTTATCATTGGCATCCAGCACCAGGATCCGGACCTGAGCCGTGCCGGACCTGGGTGGTGACCCCCCGTCGCTGGCGGTCAGAAGTAAATTCAGCTCTCCCTGCTCTTCACGATCCAGCTGACGCTGTAGGACAAGTTCCAGGTATTTTACTCCATCTTTCGCTGTTCCAATAGCGAGGGAGAAATGAGGGTTGGGCCCGAGGCTGTAGTTCTGCAAACCGTTAATGCCCACGTCCTTGTCCTGGGCGCCTTCCAGGGGGAAACGGGAGCCAGGAGATGCTGTTTCTATAATTTTTAAAACCATCTCCTTCTCGGGAAACACGGGCAGGAATGTTATCATTGGCATCCAGCACCAGGATCCGGACCTGAGCCGTGCCGGACCTGGGTGGTGACCCCCCGTCTGTGGCGGTCAGAAGTAAATTCAGCTCTCCCTGCTCTTCACGATCGAGCTGATGCTGTAGGACGAGCTCCACGTATTTTACTCCATTTTTTCCTGTTCCCAGAGCGAGGGAGAAATGAGGGTTGGGCGCGAGGCTGTAGTTCTGCAAACCGTTAATGCCCACGTCCTTGTCCTGGGCGCCTTCCAGGGGGAAACGGGAGCCAGGAGATGCTGTTTCTATAATTTTTAAAACCATCTCCTTCTCGGGAAACACGGGCGAGTTGTCGTTTACGTCACGAACTTCCACTTCCCCTCGGATAAGCTGCAATGGATTTTCAAAGAATATCTTAAAGACGAGAGTGCAGGTATCGCTCTGAGGACAGATCTCCTCTCGGTCCAGCGATTCCTTTGCCGTCAGGACTCCGGTGTTTTGATTGAGTCGGAAAAGCTGCTCGTTCCCCTCGGACACAACGCGGGCTTTGCGCGCCGCAAGCTGGCTCAGAGGAACCCCCAGGTCCTTGGCGATATTGGCGACAAAGGAGTCCCTCTCCATTTCCTCCGGCAGCGAGTAGCGGAGGGTTTCAGCCCCGCTCTGACACACGCAAACACACAGAATAAACAAGATCACTCGCCTCTTTCTGTCTCCGCTCCGTCTCCCACACGCCATCACTCCCCAAAAAAGCCATCCACCGTCCTGGGCGGCTCCCAGCATTTTTAGTAGCGTCCGAAAAACAGCGGTGTGGGCCAGCAATCCTGGGGTGAAGGAATCTGGAAGCCCCGGAGTGCTGACTCCTTTGCGAGCAGCTCAGCTCACACGGGGTTTTTTTTGTCTCCGTTTTTTTGTTGTTGTTTTTTTTTTTTTTTTTTTTTTTTTTTTTTTTTTTTTTGTTTTGTTTTTTTTTTGTCTCCCTGCGTCTGCAAACCCGGGGCGGACAGAGGAACGCTCCGGTCCGCGGCCAACATCCCCACCCAGCGTCGGAAGGGGGAATATTTCCTCTCAATCGGGGCAGCGCTGCTGGCTCGGGGTTTGCTGCTTGAGCCCGCACTCTTTGTGCCAGAGGAGAAAAAAGGTGCGGTGTAAAAGCTATCCTCTTTCGGAAGTGGGATCCCTGCCCACACACAAAGCGCTGCTCTGGGCATCACATCCCAGCTCGCAACCACGAACTCTTCATGCACAGCTTTTGGTTTGCGTTGTATAGACACGGCAAGTTCCACTGCCACAGAAGATATTTTCCTTCTCATCTCCACTTGTTAATCAGCACAGGGCGATTAGCAAGCGGGGCGAGTCAGAGAAGTTATTGAAAATAAGAGTTGACAAAGAATTGTCCTAAGTAAAAGTTTCATTATCACCACAGCTTGCCATCTCAGCAGGATGATAAAGCTGTCCTAGGACACATCATCCTAATGCTGTTCTTTTCTTACTGGGTATTGCACCTCTCCCGACTTTTACACTTTTCTATGTGAAAAAGATGCTAAACTTGAAGTCCTGTATCTGCCTAGGGATGTATGGCCAACAGCCGGTTAATACGACAGGCAAGAAAACAAACAGGAAGCCCCTAAATAAAGCTCCGCGATACACAAATGCTAACGAGGAGATAAAGGAGACAATAGCAAAGATAGGGCTCTCATCACACTAACTGACGGGCCATTAAAAGAATAATTGAACCTCAGAGGTTCAACAAAAAACTCTGTAAAAGTTAAAAGAAAATAGTTCTAAAGATTCTCACGGATTATCAGAAAAAGTGTCATGGAAGAGAACGAATAGATTACGAGGTGTTTGAGGGGGGCTCCAGAAATTTGCAAGGCTTATTATGAGATGATTAGAGGAAGAATCAAACTCGCTAAGAGGGAGATGTCTGCAGCAGGCCTGATAGGAACAACCGTGGGAAAACGGAGGTGGAGGGGATATCGAGGGGTTCTGAGCACAGTCGGGTACTGCGAGGCAGAATTTGTGCCGTAAACCAGATAAAAACCTCAGGCTCAGGCAGGCACGGCTGGCCCCGAAGAATGTTTTACCTCTGCGACGAATGCACTGAGGATGTGCACAGCCGCCTGCGAGCCCAGCCCAACCTTTCTATTACAGAATTTAAAAAAGAAGGAGAAAACAAAATAGGATTTGCATTATTTACCTGTGTCTCGAGCATTTTTAGTTCGGATTTTACTATAAAATAAACTACGCTATTAAAAATTATTATTATAAAATATCATAATCCTCTTGGATTTGGTATATTTTCTTTAATTTCCTAGACGTTTCCCCCTTATTTTTGTTTGCTAAAAAAGGAGTGACTCTGTCAAACAATACTCAAGAGGTCAAGTCCTAGAAATTCTCTGATGTCTTCATTTGTTTTAAAGTAAAAACTTCGTGCCTCTATCAGTAGGAGAAAATAACAATTGGGGTTGTTTCAGGATTCCCGGAACCTTTAGCTACTAAAGATCTTGCACGAACGAAGTAATTTTCGGTGACTTCCTCTTATCACCCATTGACTTGGACGCGTAGTAAGATCTAAACCACTGACATACATCAAAGGGCAGCTCCTGCTTTCTTCCCTTCCAAGGACACGTCCATCTCTCGAGCTGCGATCATCACCAACAGAGAAGTCAAACCGTAGGCCAAGCACAGCAGCAGATGTGTTGGGAAAGTGGCTTTCTTTTTTTCTTTCTTTCTTTTTTTTTTTTTTTTTTCCACGCAAAAACAACTCTGACACCTGTAATCCACTTGCTTTGTGCCCGTTTTTTCACTTCCGAGGGGGAAATGTGTATTTCCTTCTCCTTATTCTAATCTTTAGCATCGCTGCACAGCAGGTGGAAAGACACAGGCCTAGAAGAGCTTCCACAGACATTTCCTATCCCTGAGTGCAGGAGCCCAATTATTGTTGCTGCCATCATTTCAGAAAGGAAATTATGTCCTTCAGCTTCAGATGTAGAAGGGTGTAAGACGACCAGTGATCCTTAACGGAGCTCTTGGCTGTAGCAACATCTTCTCTCATCAGAAGATGCTGCTTTTCCACCGACGAACCTTTATATTTTTTCAGATTTTAGAGAAATTATAAAGAGGGTCACTTACCGTGCAGCACTATAGAGCTAATGCTGGTGTTTTCCCTTGGGTCACAACAGTGAAATGGATGGGTATTAATTTAAAAAAATAGAAGTTTGAATACTGCCAGATAGAGGCATACTGTATTTTAGGACAAACGAAGGAACTATACCCATAACACGAAATATTTTCATAAACGTGCCAAAGAATTCACATATCTCCTCGAGTATACAGTGATATTGCAGGCTTTGTTTTACTGATGACATCTTTATCCTAAGAAGAATCAAAAAACTAGTTCTCTTCACTCTGTCACTTAAAACTTTATGCTAGAAAAGCATTACAGCAGCATATCCTGCTCAGTTCCTGGTGTGGGTCCGTGTTTCTGAACACAGAGGTGCTAAAAGAAAATTCTGCCTGCACTTCTGAAGCCTGAGCAATTTCAATTTCCAAAATCCTTCTTGGTTTTTCACCTGGGAATTCAGAACCGCTGAATGAAATCTCAGCGGTCCCATGCCCGGTTTTGTGGTCCCCTCGGATAAAGGCTTCTTCTCCATCCCTGGAGGCACTGTCTGCTCCCCTCCAGCACGCCCTGAGGATAGGATGGCATGGGAGGAGCCCGCAGAGCAGAGGAACAGATCTTCCCAGAGTCCCGGCGTTTTCCACGCCTGAGTGCAAGGACGGACCAACACTCCCGACCTCTCCTTCCCGGACAGCTCCCAGGATGGATTTCTTCTTTCGTCTCTGTAACAATCAGGCTGCACCCCGAATTCCCAGCTATCCCGCGGAACCGGGGCCGGAGCTCTCAGCTGCCTGCAAACGTGAGGAAAGCTGGGAGAATCATTCCTAACCTTCTGGCTCTCGGTTGTGCTGTAAATACCACGGGTACTTGTTCTGAGGCTCATTTTCGCAGATGTACGGCAGCCTCCTCCCTCCGTCTGCACTCAGTCCAGCGAGTGCTTTCCCCATCAGTCTGTTAAAAGCAAACATTTATTTCTTTCGGTAGTAACTCGGTGCTTAGCCGGCTCTGAGCTACCCCAGACCTCCGGTGAAATCCTCCCAGATCCCGCAGGGATGGCCCTGGGAGGCCGTCTCCGTCCTTCACACTCCCTATTTCACCTTGTGCTTCTGGATTTTCCAGGCACGTCTCGATGCGGCGATTCCCAGCACATCCTTTGGAAAGGCTTTAAACCAGGGCGTATTCCGGAGCAGCCGGGGCGTTTCTGCGGGGATCTCAGCCGGTGCCAGCCCCGCAGCATCCCAGCGCTGCTCGCCGGTGTCCCCCGCCCCGCCCCGCAGCAGCAATGCGCGCCCACGCTGGCCGAGAGCGCCACTGGGCGGCCAGCGCTGGAACTGCACGGGGCGCTGCCCGAGCCTCGGCTGGAATCTCCTCTCTCGCCTCCCGGCTATTGCAAGGACAAGTTCTGAAATATATTTCCCATCTGGACTCTTTGGTACGTAAATGCGCTCCCTTAGTATTTGTTGAGACGTTTGGTTTGGCATTAATATTCCAGGCAAACGTGAAACGTCCTACACAAACCTTCCATCAAATGTGCCTAATAAAGACACGAGCAGATGTAGCAAACGTTGCTCATGTGCTGTGCACTACATTTTCCAGAAGTCAGGAATAAAGGCGTTTTCAAGCACAGGCTGTTTGGAGGAGGCTGAGTTCTGAATACTTTCTATTTCAGAAGGAGATCTCCAACAGTTGGATAAGCTCTCCTAAAATATTCCACAGTTAAGAACCAATTCAGTGTTAACAGCAGCACGAAGCCCTGCTGCCCCTTGGGTCAGCTGCAATAGATTTCCAAAGAATACCTTAAAGATGAGCCTGCAGGTATTGCTGTGTGGCCAGATCTTCCCTTGTTCCAGTGACTCCTTTAAAGTCAGGACTTTAGTGTTTTGATTGAAGCAGAAACGCTGCTGCTGCTCCTCAGTCACAAAGAAGAACATATTTCTTCCTAGGTAGCAGCATTTCCTTTCAAATGACACCAGCTCATGAGTCCATCTGCTCTAAAACCTCCCTGTGTACCTTTCAGCTTCAGAGAATAAAGGAAAATCTTCTGCTTCAAAAGTCTAAGTTCATGGATTTCCTCGGAGACATTCTGCATTCTCCAGTTTCCAAAGACAATTCTGGACAGAAGATACCTGCCAGATTGACAGAGAGCAGGTGTAGATTAATATTAATTTAGATATCAACAAAAAAATTCCTTACTGTGAGGACAGTGAGGCCTGAAGTTGGCCAGAGAAGCTGTGGCTGCCCTGTCCCTGGAAGCGTCCAAGGCCAGGCTGGACCTGGGATAGTGGAAGGTGTCTCTGCCCATGGCAAGAGGTTGGAACAAGATGATCTTGAAGGTCCCTTCCAATCCAAACCATTCTGTGATTCTGTGTGTGTTTAGATCTTTTGCATCCTTCAAAGGCAAAAAATTCTCTCCTTCCTCTCTATCCATGACAATCTCAGTACTTCTCATTTGGAAATGAATCCTCTCAGCTGCAACACTTTGCTGCCATGAATACCTTTTGAAGGCAAGTAAGAATTTTCATCTTTGTAAACTTTGTGCTTAGTGGGATTCATTTTTCCATCTTTTATCTCACTCCTTGATCAAATATGCAGGAATTTTCTTCATGAATCCCTGAGCCCACGTGGGTTTTTTGTGTCCTGAGGTCTCAAAGCGCCAACA